CATACATGTCAAATAAAACAATTAAAGTTACAATTAAACTATCAACATGAGTTTTACTTTTTGATTAATCGTTTACCATTGATTGAATATCTGTATATTGAATTATGCAAAGGTATACAGAATGGAGAGCAAGATCATTATCAAAATCATTATGAAAATATTCCTACATTATTGAAATTAAAAGAATTTGTCTTTTGTTCTTCCGAAGTAACAAATTATACTTATTTAGAACTATTTATATCTTTATGTTCTAATCTCCAACATTTATCATTAAATTTGGCTAGTGACCAATCTATTGATGGTCACCGTTTAGAACAAAGTTTATTAAAATTATCCAAATTAATAAAATTTAACTTTTGTATTGATAATCCAATGACTACTATTCATTATATTGAAACATATCAAACATCCTACTGGCTTGAGAATTATGCTATTATCTCTTTTCGTACTAGTGTATGGAGAAATCGTCAGTGCATTTTTTCATTACCCTATAGTTTTTCCAAGTTCTATTTTGGATTAAATGATATGGCTGATTATCAAACAAATGTAAATTACGATGATATTTTAATGTATAGTAAACGAAATATGACTGAAGCATTTTTTATATCCGATAATAAACCGTTTACACTCAAATTCTTTCAATTTATTAAACAAATTTGCGGTAAAACAACAAAATTAACGATTAATAGTTATGCTGTTAACACTCGTTTAGATGATGATTTAATGAATAATAATGATTTTGTTTTAATAAACGTTGTTTATTTAAAACTATCGATCAATAAATTAGAATTTAAATATCTAAAACGTTTACTTTTAATGACTCCAAATGTACAACAACTAGAGATGCTTTGGACCTTATCAATGTTGATATTAGACTTAAAAACAAAATACTATTTACAATTACAACCCATATTCAGTCGCATTAGACATGTGCACATTTTTTAATTATCCATTTGACATTGTTGAATTACCAGAAGAAATAAAATTAATGTTTCCAAACGCCACCGTTAATAAACAATATATTAAATTTAACTGATAAAGGTTTTATTGATACTTCAAAAAAACTTCAAATATTTTCCTTTTTGCTCTATGAATGATAATGAAACGAATCACATGTGATTACTTAGAAACAGATTTCTTTTGTATTAGAATTTAAGAATAAAATCATCTTAGTTCTGTTCAAATGGCCATTTCAAACAGTGTCGTCTCATGTTTAGATAGAGGTCTTCTGTGTCTTGACAAACTGTTAACAAACCATTATGTTTTGACGCCTCGTGATTCCATATGTTGCAAGACATTAATTTGAGGTCAGATGTGCATTCAGTATGAAA